ATAAATGGGATGGATAGAAAAATCTCTTATTAGTGAAAGCTTTGACTGGATGCATACAGAGAAAATCTATTTATAAGTAAAGGAAGGGGGGGGGGGGTCGATTGCCCCACCCTTTCTCATCGAAAAAAAATAATGAGATTTTTACTAATTAATTCTTAGAAACTAAAGATAAAACAAGTGCTTTCTAGTTATAAAATGCACATGTATAGGGCTACAAAAAGAACATGTGAGTACATGTGAGGTAAAATCAAACGTCAAGGCGTTGCGGCAAGGTTTTCAAAATGTATGCTACTTTTCGTGATCTATTCCAGTCCCATCTTAGTTCTTAGCATATTAGTTTTACATATACTATATGTCGTCATTCAAGTGATATCCTTGGTGCGTAACCATACCCTGTACAGTGTACATACCATGCACCCCAAAAACACATTCCTATTCACGTAAACACGTGCTGTAATCTTCACGGATAATTACTCAGTAATCAACGGTATGTTTGATTAAACACAATACGGTGTAGAGACTAGAGCATGTATCGATCATGTATCCGATGTATCCATAATAGCTGTATATGTTAAGTAGTAACCTCTTTTTAGGTGTTTGTTTGTTCCTTTGTTAGAACATAATTCTAGTTTTTATTGGAAACTCGGGACTCGTTGGACTAGAACCACGAGATTTTATTTAGCTCTGTTTGACAAATCTAAAATGACCAGGTTGGATTTTATAGAGAAAGTTTAGTTTCCAGGCAACGCTGGGTTCCCAAGCAAAGTATATTCCTGGTTAGTTGATTATATTTCCAATACTTTAAAATTGTAGTTTCCGGCATAAAGTTTGTTTTTATTACACGTTTTTACAGGTCACCCTGTACAAAATTAAAAATTTTATTGAATATTGTTTTTTCATGAGTACAATCAAGTTTTGTTATGACAAGATCATTCTAAAACAACTTCATTAATAGTTAATGGTCTCGTCACTAATGGGTTAAATAATGAATCTCAGTGTATTGAAAGCAAACTTTTTAATTTTGAAATAATTATCTGTGTTTTCTTGTTTGTCTGATTGTTTGTATGTCCGATCATAATAAGTCCCTTGACCGATTTGCCTCTATTTGGGTAACTCGATAAAACCGAGCACTCCTGTATGCCGAGTCCATTAGCGCCTGATCTAATTAGGGTTCAGTCATGTGTTTGTTGTCGATTCTGAACCAATAGCAATAGTATGGCAGTAACATCTATCTTTCTATCTATCTCATTATCCAATTAGAATCATTCAATCGGCGCTAACAGTAAATAGAAATATTTATTTCTACTGGAACTATATTGTGCGCGGAAATTCCAGTCAAAGCTTCAACAGATCATTTTTGCCTCAAGATTTAATTGAAAAATTTGTATTTTTTTCTTACCCTGTATAATGGAAGGGAATGAGGGGATTAGGCTATAGACCAGTCTTTATATAATCTTCAAATAAGATTCGATAGGTTGGAATAAACCCCATTAAAATAGGGCTAACAAGAAATTGGGTCTAAATTTCGGGTATCTATCCGTCTATCAGCCTATTTATCTAACATATCCATCTATCTATATATCCATCTATCTATCTATCTATCCAACGTTTTATAAAACTCTATGTATCTAGCTATAGACTCCTACTCCTACTTCTACTCCTACTCCTACTCCTACTCCTACTCTCCTAAACAACTAATGCATATCTCGTGTCCGTCCAATGCGTAAAGACCTGCGAACATTTAAATCTAAAATGAGTGTAATTATAATCAAACTTTCTCCCACAGATGCGTACGGACGCATAATTTTACGAAATCTGACAGCGCAGGAATTATGCTAGCTCAGCAATTTTAAAAATGGTATTCTCAATCTGACCGTTATGGGATGGTTATGGGGCAAGATGCCATGTTTCTTATTCATTCAGAAAACACGTGTTTTCTTTATTTAAACAAATTTTCAGTTTTTGTTTCAAATAAATAATTTAACACAAGCTGAACTTATTTCTAGAACTTTCTTGTCACGTCTGAAAGTTTTCAATGACGTTTTCCAGTTTTGCGGTTGCAGTGCGAAACTTTAAGATGTCCTGTGCTGCTGTGTCCCACTTTATAAATGAAATTCTGACGCATGGCCGGTAAACCAATTACAAACTATCAGTATTCAATTTTAAAACCTTTAATTTTAAGTTGTTAATTAATTTGGACAAAACTGTCCCTAATGAGCGGGCATTAAATCAGGCAAATTAAGATATCCACTGTAGGCATAATGTCAAGTGACTTTACATTCAAAGATAACAATACCCTATTACTTTAAACCTTAGTCTGACAAAAATGTTAAACTCACAGACAAAGCTTTCAAAGGTACCCTTGTAAATCGGGAATTGTTATCTATGCACGGAGAGTAACTTGAAATTTCGTTTGCCTTCCCTTTAAGAAATGTTTTTTATCGTATTGTCCTTCACATTTACAGCAGAAAACAGAAAGAAATACTAGTTACAATAAATTCATATTTTAGTAAGGGTTACTCTCAGATTAGATAACACTTTCCAAACCAAATAGTGCCAATCTATTAATTTATATATTCTGAGGAGGTTATGCTCTTGAATATATATTATTTGTCCTTCTTGTCTTCTCTTTCAATTCTCATGTTTTTATTCTTTTATGGTTTGCCCTGTAGCTTTTCAAACACATGGGCATGAGCAGCTTTACAGAATTTAGCATGTTCTAAACCACTCAAAAGCACAGCTGCTTCAAACAATTTGATAAATTATATTCTTTGTTAAATATCTTTCATGTGTTTTTTTCATCTAAGACCAATTTTCATCAACTACATTTATCTAAAGGGACTGTTAATGTAATTTCCACTGGCTCTTCATTAATAAAGTGGCATAATCGATTAACAGTTTAACCCTTACAACTTCTATATGAGTTTGACAACACTATAAGCAATGTAAAATTTTCTACAAAATATATTGGATCACCGGAGCTAAATTCAATTTAGTTTTGTAGCTTGACTCTTCAAATGTTGATGAATGCTTAGTTTCAATAAACCAAATTTGACAAATAATACTACTAAATTGTGTTAAATGAAAATTTGCCTTTTTTAATGAATAAGTAATTTTCGTTTTGTTCTCTCTTTACACGTGTTGAATTCTGAAAAATTCGTTCGTTGTCTGTGTAGCATAATTCCGCAGTTTACTTTTTAGACAATAAAAAAATTCAATTTGTTGAAAGATATATCATCCCTGTTGAGCCAATTGAATGCAATCTCTGTCTTTTATCTAGCAAACACCCGATTTCCAAAGAAACATTTATTTATTTTATTAATTTAACATAAAAATAAATCGAAATCTACACAGCCATATTTGGGTGAATGAATACTTTATATTGCTTTGTCCAGACTGTCCAGGAACACATAAAATTGATGAATTCTTGAGTTTCATTAATGCAAAAAAAAGAATTACAAAATTTGTAATTTTTAGGACAATAATTTTCCAGATAAGGGTGCAGAAAAGGGTGCAATTTTGGCAATCCCAGAAATTGTGTAAAAACTGGCATTGCAGAGACCCTTTGGACAGAGACGGGTCATTATCTGCACGCTTAATAATAATATGCAGGAGATTAAACCAAAATGAAATAAATTTAGTGTTTTTAACGTTGACAGTTTGGCAAAATTCAAGAAAAATTAAAGAACAATCATTTAGATGTTGCTCGGACGAGTGAGCAAGGAGGGTTAGGCTGTGATGAGAAAAGAAAGAGAATGTGGCTTTAACGGTTCTCTCAATAATACAAAAAGTTTTGACTTTCGATTACAAGTTGACCCATAAAACATAATTTTTTAACCTTTTTTTGATAATACTTTTTTTGTCGGCATATGTATTTTGAATGAAAAAGTATAGAATAAACAAATCCGTAAGGTAAAAGGTCGTTGAGTTAAAGACCAAAACACGTATGATTTCAAATAGAAGAAACCGAATGCTGCTCACTCTGGTTAGTCCTCGGTGGGACCGGAGCCCATTCTCTCCATAGAAAGTGATCGTGTATTTCACGTACTTTGGTGGACGATATGTTGGCCGCTCGATGTCTCGTGCTAAATTCTTATCTGATAGATAGATATTTCTCCGTACATATCATGACCAAAATAGGAGACGTCAAGTTGTCGACCAATGTAGTTTATGGAAGGAACGGCCTCAGAGGAGAAAGTAAGGAGTAGGATTGACCCTAATGTAGCTCTGACCAGAACAAAGTAGGATGATTGGTTTGGAAGGTAAAGAAAATAGGAATATATGCAGGCTAGGTCCGGAAAAAAGAACAATCTGGCCAGGACCAGAAATGAAGCATCTTTCTCGGACGATCAAAAAGTAAGGTGGTTGTGATTCGGACTGATTTTGAGCTCCATTATACCACCTTTAAAAATATAAACATAAATTACATTTTTAAAAGATTTATTTGTATTCAAATCATGTTTTCTTTATTTCCCACACAGCATATATTTTATAGCTAGAATAATAACAATTTTTTGGAATACATTTTTTAAAAATATTAAAAGTAAATGATAATTTTTTTTTCTGGCTCAAATTTTGGCACTAGCACTCTAAATTAATGAAAACTAGAGGTTTGATCAAACATGAAAGGAACCAACCATTGATAAATAAAAGGTAAATATCAAACTAAAGGAATTAAGCTTTTGCCACAAACTCTGATTTTCTAATTTCAATATCGCTGCTATACAATGTTGTAGACCTTTGAAACTTCAAACTATGAATGCAATGTTAGATAAAATAATATGAGTTTGAAAATCAAAGGTTTATATCATCAGGCTGCAAAGATATAGGGATTACAAAAATTGAATTTGTAGCAAACCTTTGTAAACCTTATGCATAACTTATTAACTGAGAAGATCATGAATGAACGTAAGTTGATAAAAGATAATATTTTAAAGAGATAGATTATACAGATTGAGATCTATTCCAATTAAAATACAGAAAATAGCATTTCTAGATATTTTTTGTGCACTATTCTTTCATATTATTTTTAATCTTCATATTCTTGTTTTCTTTATCGATTTCTTTCTTGTGTTTCGTATTTTTATGTTGATAATTTTTAAGACTTTTTTGTTTATAATATTTGCATCGTTCTTTTTTTCCAACGCATCCATTCCAATGGAGGCTTGAATTTTCAAATCCGAAACAATTGGCATTTTTTTTAATCCTAAAATATCAAAATTTCATGATTTTTTTTAATAATTTTAAGGAAAATTTACCTTCAACATACATTGATTCAAGGGTAGGGATTAATTCCCATTCTAGAAAATATAAATATAAGAATAAAAATATAAAATACGAAAATATAAAAATGTAAGGATATAAAAGAATGAAAACATAAAAATACAAAATTATGAAAATATGAAAGTATTGGATTAAAAAGTATAAAAATATAAAAGATTATTTCATAAAAGATCATGAAACATTATTCAAATACTGTGAGAACCAAAAAGCAGTGAAATTTTCTTTAAGTTGTAAAATTTCTTTAAGTATTTTCTGATTGGCAGCTAAACTATGTCTTCTCAAAGCCCTGACCACTATTAGAGAGATAAGAGTTGCAATAATTGAAAATTGGCAACATTTTTATAGTTAAAAGGAAGAAAAAAGACAAAATTTATTTCACAATTTTCTGGATCTTTCTGTTTAAAATAAAATGATATTTTACTGTCTGGGAAGTTGATATCCTCTGTTTGTTCTGCACTCAGCATATTTTCCATCCATCTCTGCAATATTTCAGGATTTTTTAAAATAATTTTTTTACATTGAGACCAATACAATTGTTGAGAGAGACGACTGTTAGGCTCAAGTTATGATTTTAAATTTTTCAATTTTAATGGAACACATAGCTATTGTGCAGTGTACACAACCCGATTTTAGTACCGCGGGTCAGGATGTCAGTATATAGAAATACAAAATATAGTTAACTGAAATGGATATATATCACGCCCCTTTAGTAAAAGTAAATTCAACCTATATGAAGCGTAAAGTCTGACCGCGTCAACCTTGTTGCACCGGCTAGTCCTTGTCCATAGAGCTAGGTACAGTACAAACTGGGACCGGAAAGGTTGATCCAGCTCGGAAATTAAATTGTACTATGGTTGCCCGTGAAATAACACAGAGACTTATTAGCATTTCAATACAGTATCAAATACAGAAATCGCTACATGAGAAAGATTGATCAGTATTCAGTGTTACAAATCAGTTATTACCTATACTAAAGTTGTATTATCACCATTTCAGTGCCCTACACTGTATTGATATATATGCTGACCACTGCAAGACAGTTGATTTCAAAGCTACTTGTTAAACTGGTTGCTTTATAACAAGCTCATGAACAAACAAGATTGTTAAAATGTCGCCTTTCTATTCCACTGTTTTATGGGTTCAACTGTATCATCGAAAATTTTAAAGTTCATATTTTTCTTTAATATAATCCTAACTTTACCGAAATCAATTTTTATTTCTTGAATTTTTTTTTTAAATACCTCATTTTCTCTGTAGGAGTTAAACTGATCTCCAATCATCGCCATCTCTAGGTCGGATCCATAATGTCTAAATATCAAAATACAAATAAATGCGTTCTCATGTACATTATTGAAAACTCAAGTTCATTTTATGTACCGACACGACTTGTAGGAAGCTATGGGGCAAGTCCACTGGACATTTCGGTTCATTTACAGTACCGTTAACCGACTTTAAAACCTGCTATAGCAAGCTCTGCAGTACACTTACAGGCAATTTAAGGCAAAACAGGACAGTGCGCCCAATGAACAATCCACTTCTAGTGAAATTTATTTGAGACCTTAGACGGGAAAACGTACATCTACGTAAGTACGCATTAATATGAATGTAACGAGATAATACATGTGTGTACATAAATGTACATAGACAATTAACCTGTTTAAGTGAAGAATGTACGTGATAACACCCATCACTAAAGAGAAGAGTAGAAACCAGCAACCTTTGAGGTTAAACCTTGACTTTCTCATAACATATCATCCAACTCCTTGCTATTTCATTACTGGCACACAGACCCACGTTCTATAGTAATCATTACTAAACTTACACTATTATTAGTAACTTCAAATGGGCCTAAAATTTTCAAAAAGAAAAAAATATTTATAAACTTGTAAAAAAACTTTGATGTACAATTTTTTGGCAGAGATTGTTAAATTTTTCTAGAGTAGTGAGTTATATACTTTTTTTCTATTCTACGCTGGGTTTATTTAATATTTATAAGCCTTCATGAGTTATTATTAACTTACAGGGCAGAGGGATGAATTATTAATCAAATAAAGTTTGAAGGATCAAATTTAAAAGTGTGTTAAAAACACAAAACAGTTTGAATAAAAGCCGAGCTAAAATCATAAGAAAAACCCTTTTGAAAAACCCTGTAAAGTTTGTTTAATTTTCCAGGAAATATACTGTATTGTTGTCATATGTGCTGCGTAAAATATGTTCACATCAGAGATAAGAGAGCTAGTAACAGAGGAATCTATGTAAGAAAGTCCCGGGAAAAAAGTTTCTGGAACAAAAGCCTGGAAATAAAAACTTTGGAAAAAAAGTCCAAATTTTATCAAGTCCTTGGAAAAAATGTCACTGGAAAAAAAATCCTGCGTTTTGGATTCCCGGGACATTTTTTCCTAAAAAAAGTCCTAGAAAATAAAGTCTCGAATTGGTAGGACTTTATTTCCGGAGACTTTTTAATAAAAGGACTTTTTTCCACAGGACTTTTTAGTGTGAAATTTTTGGACTTTTTTTCGGAACTTTTTTTCCAAGGACTTTTTTGGCGGTTACCTATCAGAGCTCTAATGAAACCTATGATATGCGATATTTTCCACAGCATGTTTTATTGTGTACAAGTAGGGATGTTAACGTTTTCATTTTTATGAAAAACGATCGTTTCGTTAAGAAAACGACAACGAAAAATCGAAAACCTAACGATCGTTTTTTATAAGTTCGTTTTTTTTTAAATGGTCGTTTTTAAAACGATCGTCGTTTCGTTAACGATCGTTAACGACGACCGATAGTTAACGAAGATAGGAAAACGACCTGAAGGGCATCTGTACTTATCATTGATTAGTTTTTAAAAAAATATCAAGAAGTTTTAGATCCCCAACAACTTTTTTTAATTCATGTAAGCAGACATTAAATAAAGTATGACTGTAATTTGGTTTTTCAAAAACGATCGTTTTTCCTAAAACGATCGTTTTCATAAAGTTTGTCGTTTCGTTAACGATAACCCTTCGTTGACGATCGTTGACGACGACCCTTCGTTAACGATCGTTAATATAATTGTCAATAAAATTTTTTTTTCAATAACAATCGTTTTTTCAAAAGCAATCATTTAAAAAAACAATTGTATAAAAAACGGTCCCAAATCGTTTTAAAAAAACGATCGTTTTCAAAAAGATCGTTATTCGATTTTTAAAAGTTCAAAACGAGTGGGTCGTTTAAAAAAAACGATCGTTTTTTCGAAGGACAAAGTAAGACGACTTTTAATCTCAAGTTAGGGCTGAAACTAGTTTAATGAACATTAAACATAGCAATTGTACAGTGTAAATAGACCCTTTTCACTTAAATAGTGCTTTGCTAAGTTACTAGTAAAACTATTTGCTTTGTAACAACATCAAAACGCTTAAGTATTGCTATAATGTCGTCTTTCTATTCCATTGTTTTTTGGTTATCACTGTATAGTTCTAGTAGTCCAATGAACGTGATGCACAGCAAGTGGGTAGTATTCACAAACTTTTTATACAACAGAGTTAGAATGATTATGCATACGGTTGTACAACAGAGTTAGAATGATTATGCATACGGTTGTACAACAGAGTTAGAATGATTATGCATGACGGTTGTACAACAAAACACCTTAACAGTTTATTTTTAATCTTTGTGACAGAAACAATCTCAAGGAATAATAATTGTCTTAAAACGTTTTTTCAAAAAGTGAATATTTGGAAAAATTATCTTTTTTCCATCTCATAATCTGAGTTCGTTTCCCTTATGTTCATTTGACAGCCCCCCAAATTTTTTTTTACATGATCTTTTTTGTTTGTTTATTTTCTTGTGGTTTTTAACAATTTCTAAAATTTTTTTTATCGATTTTGATGGTTATTATATCGTTAGAACTGACGAGGGTCAACACAGACCGAAATATATTTTCAATAAATGCGGAACTAACATCTATTTTTTTACTCTACAGAGGTTTGGTCCATCACCATCACCGAGTTTTGAATCAGTAAAGTACGGATGTCCGTTTTCACTGATTATCTAGAAGGTCTTACAGGGAGAACCAGAAAACATTGGAAAAGGAAGACAACTTACAGACTCAAATTATGACTTTAAATAAGAATATTGAATATAAGGCAATGCAATTGTGTGCTGTGTAAAATGACCTATTTAGCTTAATAAGTTATTGAACAAGTTACTTTAGTAAAACTATTTGCTTTGTAACAACATCAAATATACACTTAAGTATTGCTATAATGTCGTTTTCACAGTTTTCTGGTTCTCACTGTAACTATAATATCCCTTTTGAAATCAGGTATTATAATACTAATAAATTAAGTCTTTTCCACAAACTCAAATTTTCTAATCTAATAATCTAATAATAATCTAATAATTTTAGATATTTCAAATGATAAATTCTGTAAGATCAAATAATCTAAGTTTGAAATAATAAAGGTTTACACAATCATGCTGCAAAGATATAGGGATTATAAAATTTAAATTTGTGGTAAAGACTTAATTCCTTTGATAATAAATACGTTCTTGAACTGGTTTCTTAGGATACTCTGTACTTGAACAAATGTTCTCAAATCTTGAAATATTTCCGGCATTTTCTTTACAGCTGTTCTTTCTGAATAGAGAGGGGTTAAAGGGATTGTAGACGTGAAGTTAAGTATCTCTATATTTAAAGAGCTTGTTCAACTGCGAATCACAACATTACCCTTGAAACCTTAGATATCCTTTTTGTCCGGCTAAAAATGTTTTTTTCCCTTTTGGTTCTTCTATAAGAGTTATTTGTGGTTTTAGGCTTCAGTTCATTACTTTTTTTCTATTAATATATTAATATCACTGATTTTTAACTAATACAGAAATGTAAAGAATACGGCTGTAAATAGGAAATGCTAATCCTTAAATTGAGACATTACTTCAAATTATGCCAACAGTCCCTTTAATAATTTATCAAAACTAAACTGTTTGCAGGTGCCCCTGGGTTCAGGAATCATTTTCTTTTGTTGCTCAATTATTGTTATTATCACGCCTTTATTTGCACTTTTCAAGAGCCTTCGTTTTTTAAACGTACTTTAACGGTTTTATTATTGGAATAGATTTAACAACAAGTTGTTGGTTAATACTCACTAGCCACCACCCCACCCCCCTCTAAAAAAGGCCGTTTCCTGAGAAAAAGGAAATAGTATGCTTAAATTGTCAGTTAAATTTATAATCTTTTTAGAAACAACTTCATCTCTTCTGAAAAAACCTCTTGCAGCGCTGAACTCCTCCACACAGACCCTGAAGCGAAAGAAGGAACTGAAGACTTTTGAAAGCGACAGTTCATTAAATACTCTGATGAGATTAAATATCTGTGATGAGGAGCAGTTTTGTGTTGTAAGAGCAGACATTAACTTCCCTCTTAACCCAGAACGACGAAATTCAGATCAGTCTCAAAACTGTCGATTGCACTGCACTCAGATTAAAAATTAATTTCTATGAATTTTTAATTTTCTAATTATTTTTCACACACCATAATCCCTTATTTATAGTATAATCCAGCCAATATGATGAGGATATAGGTTAATCCGTGGAATCCTTTACACTGTGATCTAAGAATTCTAAAAAATTCGAATAAATTACATAAAAGAGAATGAATAGTTTAGACTGGAGTTGGAATATCCCCCTTCCTCAATCTATATGTCACGTTCACACAAATCCTGTCTTCTAACTTCCGATAATCTTCAGGACTCCAGATTGAATATTCCCCCCTTACCCCACTAACCNCATTAATAGTTCACGGTGAGATGTCGTTTCATAAAATGCGTTTTACAAAACCTTTTTGTGTTACACTATCTTAATATATATTCGGCTTTTTTGTGTTCAATAAACGTCAAAACGGCTCAACCGCCCTACTTTTTTATTGTAACTCATATTGGATTCGGAAAGATTATGGTCGGCCAAAAAAGAACAACATTTTGAGAATCTGACAATAAAAATAGAAAACCCTGAGATATTTTCGCAATGATATCATTTAAAGATGCAAGGGCCTTTTTTATAGCTCTTAATATTTTAAATCTGTAAAGTGTTTACATCCTACCTAAAGTTTTGAAGAAGAATTTGGTAACTAAAGAATTTGGCATCAGAATTTGATCCTCTTATTTCATAGTTATTTATAACTGTCTATCTACATATATATCAACTTTGTATATGTATTTGAGGGAGATAGGGTTAAGTATTGACGTTTGATCCCAAGGGATTAATGGATTGCTGGATTGAACTGGGATCCTGAATATAATGTGACGAAATCAATATCTTATCAATCAATCGGTTTGTAAACTATCTATCTATCTATCTATCTATCTATCAATCTATCTAACTATCTATCTATCTATCTATCTATCTATCTATCAATCTATCTATCTATCTATCTATCTATCTATCTATCTATCAATCTATCTATCTATCTATCTATCTATCTATCTATCTATCCATCTTTCAATCTATCTATCTATCTAATGTAAGAGACACATTACACACTTTCAGAAGAATAGCAAAACACCTTTTAACACTATTTTCTAATGGAAATTAACAAACGAAAATATATTTTAAAGACATATTATAACACAATTTACAACTTTTGTTTGCTGGCATAAATCTCTCTGTTTGCCTGAAAAATAAGATTCCTAAGAAAGGAAAGATAAACTGACAACTTTAATTAAAATCAAAATGATCAATTTATGAATTCAATTTGTATTCAATAGCATTTTGGTCTACCATTCAAATATCTTTAAACTCACTTTTTTCATTATAAACGCAGCCACTGAAAAAGAAATATAAAAGTAAGAAAAAATTTATGTGACAACCTCCTGGGACAAGGACCGAATTGTTAAATCAAATATCAACTCAAAATTAAAATGATGATAAGGATAATAATGATACTTCAATACCTGGGAACGAACTTGCTCTAGAAGTTTTCCCAAACTCAATACTCGACTATCAGATTGTTCAAGATCGAGCTTTAATATAAAAATAATTGTGATATAATGATAATAATAGTAATAATGATAATAATAATAATAACAAAGAATTATCTTGATAAAGATTATAATAATAGTACTTTTAGGCCAAGATGTTAGTGATGGAAGAGAGCAGTTTGATTATGATTATAACACTGTTAATTAGTAATCAATAAGATTATGATTATAACACTATTAATTAGTAATCAACAAGATTATGATTATTATAACACTGTTAGTTAGTTTTGAATAATTACAACAAGTGCAATATTATGATTGATGAGGCTTATATTCGAAGGGGTTGTATCAATGTAACTTTTAAGTGACCATTTAAAGAGTTGCATGTATAATTGACAATGATACCTTTAAACCTTTGCCAAAGTAAAAATTTAGTTTTTTCTCAAATTAATTATTTTATATAATACTGTGAAAGGTTTTAGAAGTAAGGAAAGAAGGAAGAGGAGAAGAAAAAATACAATTTTTTTCAAAACCGAAAAAAAACTCCGCCTTTCATATTGACTGATTTCTGTCACCATACAGATCTAATTAAAGAGATTTTTAAAGAAATGTAATTTTTCCGTCAAACCTAACTGATTAAACTTTGACAGACAATTCTTGGTCAGATTTTTTTTTATCTAACTCTTTAACTTTAGAAAGCTTTTACTCGCATCTCTAATTTATTAACTGTTATATATAAATGTTTAAATAATCAAGTTGCAAAAAGGGGGTTAAAACATTAGAATCAGTTCCCTTAAAACTTAGGAGCTACCATGGCTACAAACACGATCACTACAATTTTTGGACTTTTAGGATTTTAGATTGAATCTCATTTTTTTGTTTACATATATATTCAGTTCTTCCAAGTTGTTATTTTTAAGAAATTGTATTTACTATAAATTGTTTGTTTTCATTTGTAAGGATATAAATAAACCATTTAAATTTTACTCTACTTTATATTTGTGTGTTTATTAACCTTGTTTTCTTTTTTATAGTTTTACCTTTCTAAACTAGGGTTTCGTCTCCAGCGAACGAAACTTTCGCGTTTTTTCGCGAAAATGAATTTTGCGAAAGGAAGCAAAACTATCCGGAATTTTGCAACAACAAAAATTTGCGACATTTTAACGAAAAAATGCGAATATTTCTTTTTTTTCGTGAAATTTTGAATTCATCTGTTTCGCGAAAATATGCGAAACTTTTGCAAAAAAAGTTTCCCCTTTTGCTGGAAACCATTCCATAAACAGGGGGAAACTCCGGTATACAAGAATAAGCCAAATTTAAGCAAACCTTATCATCCCTGAACCAGGGCGAGATGCTATACACATAAAATCAATATTGACTAATAAGACATATAATAAGACATGAGTGAAAAGACATAACTCAAATTAAACACCTTGAATCTCCAGATATAAAACAGGCCAGAACAGAAATAAGAAAAATCTTCTTTAGTGTAAGGATCCCAGAGGCCAGAGAGTCCAAAACTATCAACATTTTTAAATTAAGATATGACTCATGGTTATAAGAGACTGCTTCCTGAGCTTATTTGAACCACAAGTATGGACCTCAAGCAGTCACTGGACCTCACAACACTCCTACCATGGTCCTACCTGGACCTCTTGGAGTTCACCACCAAGTTTACCCAAGTAGGTTAGTAAGATGTGTTAAAGTGTAAATTTAGAAGCTTTGCGTAATCTATAGTGAAGCTTAATAAAGTAAATAGAATAAACTGAATTAAATAATGAAACGATTACGCACATAAACTATATTACCACGTTCTAATAAAAAACTAAATTTACATGTGAACTCAGTTTCTTCTACTTGAATTCAATCATGTGTTGGTTACATGTTGGTCTATATAATTCATCAATATTCAACAATCTGACAGCGTTGTTATTTCATTTAAAACACATATGCAGGCATATGGTGTAAAACAGAAAAGACAAAAACTGAATGTTTAACCCTAAACAGGGTGGGTAGTAGGGGAGGAGGGGGGCGTTTGACACCTCCCACCTCCTCTCCTAGTTTTGTTTGCCCTAGTACTCTTATTTTTTTAATGCATATGGTAGGGTCCAGGGCGGTAAAAAGTCTGGTTCGTGTAAAAAAAGATGAAATAGTCCTTATCTTTTGTGTTTAAAACTGCAGATCTAAACGTTATATCTTTGAAAAGCCCTTGAAAAATGAATGTAGAAACATGTGTCACATCTTTCACAAGTTTCTACATATTTTTACCCTTTTTTGGGCATTTATTTCAACCCTTCCTAACACCCAAATTATTAGGATATCGGTCCAATATTTTTTATTAAGGTGGCCTTGACAAAATGGGCTATGCAAATGCATGCCTTTATAGTGTTAATAGGCTAAATTGTGATCGAAAGTTATAGTTCTCTATAGGGTAAGGACCGAACCCTTAATTCCGCGTGCCGGGGTCCCCTTTTTTGCCTCCCCTCCCCCTCTCCCCCCCCTCACATGGAAGTGCAACATTTGATATATAATCATGGAATTGCGGGAAATATACTTAAACTAATTCATTAAGTATGTTACAGGGCGAATATTGTGATTTGTGGGACTTATAAAACTGAGGATTAGTGAGACTCATAAAACTGAGGATTAGTGAGACTCATAAAACTGAGGATTTGTGAGACTCATAAAACTGAGGATTTTTGAGACTCATAAAACTGAGGATTAGTGAGACGCATAAAACTGAGGATTTGTGAGACTCATAAAACTGAGGATTTGTGAGACTCATAAAACTGAGGATTTGTGAGACTCATAAAACTGAGGATTAGTGAAACTTATAAAACTAAGGATTTTTGAGACTCATAAAACTGAGGATTAGTGAGTCCCAAAAAAGAGAAGATTTGGAAGACGAATTAAAGGAATTGCAATTGACCCTCTAAGCAAAGAGGGCAATGCCCGATTTACAGCGGCCACTCTAGTATGCCGAGTCCATTAGTGCCTGATCCAATCAGGGTTCTGTCATTTGTGTGGTGTATATTCTGAACCAATAGAATTTGCATGGCGGTAACATCTATCTTTCTTTCTATCTCATCATCCAATTAGAGATAAATCCTTTTATCGGCGCTTTACACTAAATGGAAATATTTACTTCTACTAAAACTATAGTACCTTTTGAATATTTGTGTGTTTGTTAAAAACAGAGATATTTGTGTTTAAATCTATCGAAACCCGCTTGTAATCAGCTGAAAATTCAAGTGTGCGTTGTGTTGAGTTTGGTACAGTCTGAAATTAACACATTGTATGATAACATTGAGTCCACATATTGTCTTACCATTCCACAGTTTTATTAGTCCCACTGTAGGCTCTAATGACTTCTGTTTTATGATTTAATTCTTTAATTTTGCCAACACTTATTGAACACAGTCAGCACTATATACTTTCCATGAACATATTTCAATGAATAAGAGTAATTAATTTTTATTATTGTTTAAATAATTTTTATTGCGACAATATAGGATGTCAGCACATAACATTAGCAACGTACACACGCTAGTCAACCAAAATTCTTTATAGATTTGGCATTAGGACTGTATGCCGGATAGGGCCTTAAAGGGACTGTAAGCGCGATTTTAAGTAAACCTCCAAGCAAAGAAGCAAGAACCCGGCCCTTAAACAGTTTTATCTTAGGAACCTGAAATGTCGTAAATGTTGTATTGAAAGTTATGAATTTTAATTAAATATTTAAAATTTCAAAAAGGTTTACACTACTTAAAAATTATTAACACCGTATTGCATCTTGAGCGTTGATTTTTTTTTGAAATTTGCCAAATTGTTGTTTGGCACGAATGTCCCCTGACTTAGTAAAAAAACACACATCAAACACTCATTCATATTGATTTTTATAGACTTTATTAATGAGTAGAAAAGTCCGGGTATACTTTATAATCATATTGCAAATAGACATTTTAAGTTTCATATATAAAGGTTTACAGTAATCATAAATTGTTTCTATCTTTGTGCGCTGAATTCTCAAGAACTGTTAAGTTTGTTTGACTTTTTAAACAGCCTCAGGGCTAGCTGACATTTTGATGTAATACAGGTTTTAAATTCAATCACTTTTATTCCATATTCTTTTTAAATTTTACGCTTAACCAATTACAGACTGGCTGGCGACTTTGGGGGGGGGGGGGGGGCGTTTAATATTCTGCTTCTTTTCAGTTTTATTTTTAATTAAGTATTCTCGTTATTGAAGTTATTGCTTTCAAACTTTGTCAAATGAAAAATAATAAAATGATTTCCACCTTAAAGCATATTAAGATTTAAAAGTCTCCAAGCTATCGTGAACGCTTAGTATCGATGTTTAGATTTGAGGATAAATGTTTGAACCCTCAATTAAGGTAATGAACAACACTTAAAAAAATTATATCAATCCGTAGGTTTGCATAACATATCAAGATCAATGCTTAATCCTGAGATTGACAACACAACGTAGTAGTTCTGAATTCTAGGAATGTGAATCTAATTATTTTTACTCAAAAGAGATAATGTTAACATTATAATAATAGTACTTTTAGGCCAAGATGTTAGTGATGGAAGAGAGCAGTTTGATTATGATTATAACACTGTTAATTAGTAATCAATAAGATTATGATTATAACACTATTAATTAGTAATCANGGGCATGATCTTCTCAGCTATTAATGTCAACACAGACACTAGTTTGTAAACTGTCAATGCCAAACCAATGGGCATGATCTTGTCAGCTATTGATGTCAACACGGACACTAGCTTGTAAACTATCAATGCCAAACCAATGGGCATGATCTTGTCAGCTATTAATGTCAACACAGACACTAGCTTGTAAACTATCAATGCCAAACCAATGGGCATGATCTTCTCAGCTATTGATGTCAACACGGACACTAGCTGGTAAACTATCAATGCCAAACCAATGGGCATGATCTCCTCAACTTGTTCGTTAAAACAAGGAACGATTACTCTCTCAACCTATTCTAAGCCGAGTATCTTCCAACTAACTATATTTGAAATTCTATGTTACAAGTTAACATTAATCTACATAATTACAAGTTTTAAGTTATATAAATATATATATATATTCAACGTAATTAAGCTCATCATGTGTCACATAGTTATTTACAACGCAGTTAAGTTAAATCACAATATGGGTTTGCATTACTATTTACAACGTAGATAATGAATAATGTACAACGTTATTCATGTTTACAGATCTAGTGTTACACAAAATTTATTACATGTCTGGGTTATGTCAGTAACTGTCTAAAATTAGTTCTTGTATAAATTAATATGATTTTGCATGCATGTAGAGATCGGAATTTTTGTGAACAAACAGAATTGTACGTGAAAGATGGCATTGTTCAGATGGACGAACAGCTTGAATCTTTCAGAAAAAATGAATAACTATAATAGATTTTAAAAACGAATGAAAAAAAATTTAAAAACGATTTTAAATATTTTGAACAAATCAAAGAAAAAACAAAAAAAATTTAGACTAAAATAAAAGCTTTAAAATATTTTTGGAACAAAATTTTTATAAGACGATAAATTTTTGCTCAACAAACGACTTTTTCGAACAACTTTTAAAATTGTCGTTTTTTACTGAACCAATGATTTTATTGAACGAACGATTTTGCTGAAGAACGATTTTATTGAAAGATCGATTTCCCTGGACGATCATTTGGTCAGAAAACGAACGAAATAGATGGAACGAAATTAAGAAAATACCGAATGCGCCCATCTCTGAACAGTAAAGATAGTAAGCTAGATAGAAGATACAACTGGTATTTGCAATTCAAACAGTTTAAAATAAAGATTTTGAATAAACATGTCAGTCATTATTAACAACTCAAATTGTTAATATGTCAAATAGAAATTTCCTTGTTTTCAAAACAATTTTTTTAGATGTTCATTAGTTAAAACAAATTTCATGTTTCTGTTTAAACAAAACATTAAAAAAGATTAATATTTCAAGAAATTTGTTTATCAAGACTGAAAAGCAGTTTTCATCGTAACAATGTAAGAATATCATGAAATCCACTCCCGAAAGTCCAAATAATTATTTTTTTGTTAAACTTTAAATTAATTGCAATGAAAACACAATGGAACTTTACTCAAAATCAGATCAAAGGATATGATACTAAAAGAAACGAAAACCCTGTGGCCGAATTTAAAGGTTTAAATTGAGCGCCGAAGCAAATCTTAAAAATTAATTACAATTTAAGTGAAACCAACCATAATTAAGCCGCGGCTTAAATTCTTTAAATTCGGCTTCAGATGATTTTTTTTTCAGCATAGTTGCAAATTTATTATATTTTTGTGTGAAAAGGGTGGGGGTGTGACGGGGCCGGGGGGAAGATAAGGAGTTGGCGTGATATGTATTTTATTTAGTTACTTCGCAAGCGAAATTTTTTTTAATTCAATTTCAAATGGAACCTTGGAACTATTTTGAGAAACATCTTTTAATTTTCTCTATTAGTGTGTTCTAATTTTCCGTTTTTAAAAATTTTTATATTCCAGTTAAATTTGTTAAATGAAAATAATGATAAATGTGAATGATCAAAATATGGCGCTATAAAAAAATCTTGACAATCATTGCAATAATATATTCAATTTAATCTAATTACACACTTGCAGGCTGTAGCTGTAGCAACAAGTGGACATATTAATACGATAATTACTCAGAGCTGGGAACTTTAGAATGGATACGTTTAATCCAAATATCCAATGTGGACACTTTTAATTTTTTGCTTAATCCACTCTTTTTTGATATAAAAAAAAATCAAAAACCGGTTTTTCAAAATCAGAGAGTCCCATCTTTTTAATTTTAAATGGCTTGCAAAATTTCAAATTTCCCGGCTTCTGATATATGTGACTCTGAATGGCTGAATTTTATACCCTTTTCGGGATTCAAGTACACGATTAGGTTAGTATTGAGATTAAAAAGAGAGAATCAAGCATTGATCTCGATATCCACCAGCTCTGCTCAGAAATACTGAAATGAATCCAGGACAATATCTCAGTTCAGTTCTTATCTCTTTAACATTACTTTCCGTTTACACCCATCACCCTTAGTGAACGTATAAAATGCCTTTTTTTGCTGAAAAATAGGTGAATTTTTTATTAACATAGGTATGTATGTAGTAAGCAGATACTTTTCTTATAAAACTATAAGATTTTTTTGTAAAATCATGATAAAAAAAATATATTTAGCAAGAAATTCAACTTTAAAAATCTTTAAATTGCCTCTTTTTTTCTTATAAATGTTGAAAAAAAAGTTTCAACTTGTCGGTGGTAGTGAGGGTAGTGGGGAATTGAAAAATAAATTATTGAATAAATGTTGAAAAAAAAGTTTCAACTTGTCGGTGGTAGTGAGGGTAGTGGGGAATTGAAAAATAAATTATTGAATACATGTTGATAAAAAAGTTTCAACTTGTCGGTGGTAGTGAGGGTAGTGGCGTAAAGTTTGATTTTTGAAAAAAGAAAATGCCGATTTTTTTAGTCAATGTTACTCCCTGGGCACCCATTGGGTTCCCTCAACAAATTTTAGCACATTCGGTATAAACCGATAGAACAGGTTTAGCTAACATCTATACAAAGCAATTATTACTTTATAGATAAAAAAGTTTGCGGATACAACAATATTTGTTTGTGGATTTTCAAAATTTTACAAAAATCAAAAAATGTTGGAGACAAATTATTGTAATCTTGAGCATCCCTGGGGTCATGCGAGGTCCCACAAAAAATGGGCCCGATCAGTTTTGCCGTGTTTACGTTTATCGGTTACAAACAAACATGCAGACAGACAATTAAAATATATATAAACACATATATGAAAAGGCCAAAGAGGGAGGGGGTTGTGAATGATGCCCCATATCTCTCTAAAGAAGCTATTCAAACTTTTTTGATCCTTTTCTTGGATTCAATGGGAATGGCATTTCATGCCTATACTATATCAACAAATGGGGATAGATTAGAATATATATTATACAGCGCAGGATAATATTTTTGATATTTAAAACGCATGTTTTCGACCTCAAAAATGTATTTTGCAGGAAAATGGCTGACTCTACAAATGTTGGAGCTACCCTAACTAATGGTATAAAAGGTGAACTAAGATTTTAAACGGTTAACACTTTCCCATCAAGCCTTGACGTTCCATCCCAATTTGACCTTTTAAATATTTTTTTTTTTAATTTTTCTCTTTTTTTATTTTGTGCAGGCGGATGTGTTTTAAATAGAAAAGTAAAAGAAAAAACCGTACGCATTACGCCCTGATTTGTCTAGGATGAATGTCATATCATTCATATTTAAATTACAATGAAAACCAGATGAAAATGGAATAAGAGGACAACATTATAGAAATATTTGAGTGTATTTGATGGTGTTACCAAGCATATGTTTTACCAGACACTTATAAAACCATTTATTTAGCGAAATGGGTCTTTTCACACTGCACAATTGCTGTGTTTCGTCGTCATTGAACTTTTTAAAGATAAAACTTGATTCTAAAAGTGGACTAACTATTCCAGAGTTTTCTGGTTAATTGTATATAATAAAGCTCATTGCTCATATATATATTTGAATATTTACATGTTAGCTATAGCGGAAAATTTTTAAAGTGAACCCATGGGTACCTAGGGCTGGGCACGTTCCAACTTTCATAAAACGTTTCGCTAACGGATAGTTTTAAAAAAAAAAAATAAAATCTCAAGTAGCCGTTTATAGTTTTAGAGGGTAAGAACAAAACTTCATTTCGTTAATGGTATTTTCCGTTTTTTAACCGTATTTACCGTTGTTAACAATCTCAATTTTATTAAAGGTGTTAACAGAAAATGTTCAACAATCTTTAACGGCTCCAGCCATTAACATTTCTGTTATATTTTTTCAAAAACGGCTATCCCGTTTTGTTAACGATTTAAAAATTTTTCCGTTTGCTAACAAACTCTACCGTTAATTTTCGAAAACCTCCATTTCGTTTAGCGAACTTTGCCCAGCAGGGTACCCCCAGGGTAACATATAGTTGCTAAAAAAATCGAAACTTTTTTCTTCAAAATAAAAAAAATTTTATTATTCAAATTTTTGTTAATTCAATTTTTTTTTCTTTTAACATTTTTTTTCACTATAGCTATCAATACATACATGTAATTAATTACTTTTTAAATTTTAGATCCTATTTCGCGTGCAGCTTTGCAGCCCACTGCTGACTATATTTTACAGGTTACAAGTGTAGAACAGTGCAAATATTTAAAACTAAATCATGATTTGTTGACGTTTTGTTTTTCTTAAAAAAAGTCCAATTATTTTTTTTCCGGATGTAATCAATTTAAAAAGAGTAAAACAGAGATCCCCAGAATATTTTGAAAAGTTTAATTTGCCAAGAATAAATCAATATGGTGTGTAGAAAAATCGTAACAATTCTTTAAAAATGTTAATAAACTCTAAAACAGAACCCCCACATATGTTTTAATAGTATCTTTATTCTTTTTTAGGGGGGGAGGGGCGTGTATGTTTTTATTGAAGATATAACATTTTATTTAAGTTTGTGTTGAAAGAAATCAATATGATATTATTATTGTTTTAAAATATAAACAATTGTTAACATATGCATAAATCTACATATACAGTATTTTTATGAGAAGAAGAATATATCATGTGTATTTTTAATACTGTATGTTCTCCGTCCTTCCTACAGTCAATAACTCGTCAATTCGTCCAGGATCACCCTAATAAC